GTAACAATAACTCAATCATGTCATGTCCTGTTTTCTTACAGACCTCTCTGGAGGCAAAAGTCAGCTGATTGATCCAATGAAAACACTGGAAACTGCTGATAAAGGAGCAGAAAAACGGTATATAAAGCGTTTCACCATAGATGTGTGCGAAGATTTGAGTAGTCGGATCAAAATTTGGCTCATTGGTAAGTTGAACTGTCTCTAATTTCCAAAAAATAGGCCTAAATTTAAGATTTATGTAGGCTATTTGAATTGCATGTAAAATTTCTATCCATTTGGAATACACAGTAAACTTAAGTGATGCATATTTGTCAGTCACACATAAATGAAACTGGTCAATTTTTTTGAATTAATACCAATAAACAGTAGCCACACTCTAAAAAATGCTGGGTTAAATACAACCCAGTGCTGGGTGGTTTTAGGGTGCAGGTTTATATATTTAGCAGCATTTAATTGTTTGCTTTCCATATGCACAATAAGCGGTAATGAAACAATCAAGTCAAGAAGTCCACAGCCAAAATGGTTCTTGATAACCTAAGAATCGTTTAAAGAAATAAATTAGAAAATGTATAACTGTTTTACAGATGCTGGGATTAGTATTTGTAAATGCATGGCTCAGTGGATCTGGGGAAGGAAATATAACTTCCTCCACAACATGACAGGTGAGAACAGACCTGCTAAAAACCCGCAATTCAATGAGAATACTAAAAGGGACTCATTTCACACTGTGATCGATTAGATGAAGCAGTGCACTCCACTCTTCGGCAAAGTGAGACGAGAGACTATATAGACGCAGGACTGCTGCAGAACTCACCCTACTTCTCAGTGCTGAGAGAAGAACGAGACATCGACCTCATCATTTCCCTGGATTTCAGTGATGGAGATCCTTTCATGGTAGGCCTGGCTATTATACACATAGAATTCTTTACAAACCCCTCACAGGATGTGCAAAATTTTAATTTTATAGCTACACTCTAAAAAATGCTGGGTTAAATACAACCCAGTGCTGGGTAAAATAGGGACAAACCCAGCAATTGGGAGGTAGCATTTACAATAATATGTAACAATAACTCAATCATGTCATGTCCTGTTTTCTTACAGACCTCTCTGGAGGCAAAAGTCAGCTGATTGATCCAATGAAAACACTGGAAACTGCTGATAAAGGAGCAGAAAAACGGTATATAAAGCGTTTCACCATAGATGTGTGCGAAGATTTGAGTAGTCGGATCAAAATTTGGCTCATTGGTAAGTTGAACTGTCTCTAATTTCCAAAAAATAGGCCTAAATTTAAGATTTATGTAGGCTATTTGAATTGCATGTAAAATTTCTATCCATTTGGAATACACAGTAAACTTAAGTGATGCATATTTGTCAGTCACACATAAATGAAACTGGTCAATTTTTTTGAATTAATACCAATAAACAGTAGCCACACTCTAAAAAATGCTGGGTTAAATACAACCCAGTGCTGGGTGGTTTTAGGGTGCAGGTTTATATATTTAGCAGCATTTAATTGTTTGCTTTCCATATGCACAATAAGCGGTAATGTAACAATCAAGTCAAGAAGTCCACAGCCAAAATGGTTCTTGATAACCTAAGAATCGTTTAAAGAAATAAATTAGAAAATGTATAACTGTTTTACAGATGCTGGGATTAGTATTTGTAAATGCATGGCTCAGTGGATCTGGGGAAGGAAATATAACTTCCTCCACAACATGACAGGTGAGAACAGACCTGCTAAAAACCCGCAATTCAATGAGAATACTAAAAGGGACTCATTTCACACTGTGATCGATTAGATGAAGCAGTGCACTCCACTCTTCGGCAAAGTGAGACGAGAGACTATATAGACGCAGGACTGCTGCAGAACTCACCCTACTTCTCAGTGCTGAGAGAAGAACGAGACATCGACCTCATCATTTCCCTGGATTTCAGTGATGGAGATCCTTTCATGGTAGGCCTGGCTATTATACACATAGAATTCTTTACAAACCCCTCACAGGATGTGCAAAATTTTAATTTTATAGCTACACTCTAAAAAATGCTGGGTTAAATACAACCCAGTGCTGGGTAAAATAGGGACAAACCCAGCAATTGGGTTGTTTTGACCCAGCGGTTGGGTTACTACCCAGAAGGTTGGGTTAAACATTTAACCCAACTGCTGGGTCAAAACAGCCCAATTGCTGGGTTTGTCCCTATTTTACCCAGCACTATTCAACCCAGCATTTTTTAGAGTGTACAGTAACAACATTTAAATAACTATAAATCCATCTTCAAAATGCATGTCTGTCTTAAGCCTGTAATAACTGTTTATATATTAGGCCTGTCGGGACGGAATTTGTGGGTAATTTTTTACATATGCCATTCACCCATGCATGTCATGATAGGAGAAACTAAGCTTTTCAAAGCTTTTAATTAATTGAACCATTTGCTTCGCAAAATAACTGTTTCGAAGCGCTCGAAACACCACATGTTGGTGACACCAGCTGGTCGTAATGGTGTAAAGGCAACTAAAATTCAGTCCAAACATGCATAAATACAACTTTTACAAACCCATTGCAAACATTTCTATGAAATGTATTAAATGCAATTAGCAAAATCATCTAATACCATTAAATATTAAGTGTCTGTATAATTTGGGTTCTTTTATCAGTTTTCAGGGTTTGTTTTGTTTGTTCTGTGAATTAATCAAATCAATTTAGGGCAATAAGATACCATTAGCTACTATTATTATGTTTAATTATACAAATGTCTCATAAAAATCTTGTTCAATGGTTTGGTTTGCCGTTCACAGAAATCATCCCTGGCCACGAACCATTGAAATTTTTTTATTTTAATTTTTTTCATTCACGTAACTTTGGCAGTTTGATGCCCCTGTTGAAAAAACCAGCATATGCTGGTTAGGTATGTTTTGACGCTGGGATGCTGGTTTAAGCTGGTCCTTTGCTGGTTTAAGCTGGTCCTTTGCTGGTTTAGGACCAGCTTAAACCAGCATCCCAGCGTCAAAACATACCTAACCAGCATCTGCTGTTTTTTTCAACGGGGACGCGCTTCGAAGCACTGGTTCAAAACAAAGGTTTCGAAGCTTCATGAAGCAGTTCTTGGAATGCGCCAAATACTAATCATATCCTAATAAAAAAAAAAGTTAGCCCTGGCTACTTTGGTGCATGTTTGGTGTAGGGTTAGCGTAGCTGTAGGTTAATTCCCTTACGAAAATTCACTACAAATAAAACCAAAAAACTATGGATACTATAGCCTAGGTAAACCATGGTAACCACAAATTAACCATGGTCTTGCTACACTAACCATCGTTTAACCATGGTACTTGTAGTAAAACTGTGGCTATACAAATGGTAATCACTGAGCCAAAAAACCATGGTTACTACAATTTTACTATAATAAAACCATGGTTACATTTTTGTAAGGGTTGTCACAACAAGTGAGAAATATCAAACATAGACCACGCAGAATGGCAAACCAAACAGAAACGCCCAAAGTCTACAAGCAAAACAAAACTATCATCAACATTGGCTTAGCTTTTCAAATAGCTAGAACTCTAGAAATGTAAAATGTTTTAAAAGCGACCCAATGATGGCTTTTTCTTACTCAATGATATTTTAGCATAGCACTCTAACAGAGAATTGACAACGTTTGACCTGATCAGACTAGTGATGTTACAAACTTATGTAACGTTATTAATTTTAAAACAACAATTAGTCAAAACAATATTCGCGCAATTCATCCGTGCAACCAAAACACTGTTCTTCAGCAAGACGCATGCAGGTTTATTTCTGAACCGCTAGAGCGCCTAGGGATCGTAAAACTTGTATGTTGTTTTTATTTAGTACTGGCCTCAATAAGCTATTTCACATAACAGATGTTTACATACAGTATAGTCCATATATGGACACATATAGACAATATTAATAACTGAATTTACACAAATAACCCAGTTCAAAAGTTTATAAACGCTTGTTTCTTAATGCTGTCATCCTGAGCAGTAAAACTGACCACTGTTCTTCAGAAAAAACAACAACTTTATTTTCTTTTCCAGCATCTTCTGCACATGTTGAACCCTTTTTAACACTGAGTGTGATTTTTTTTAGATCCATCTGTTCACAATGAGGATGACTGAGGAACTCAGATGCGACTATTACAAACATGATGCTCAAAAAAAAAAGAATTATAATTGGGGTGTAAAAACTTTTGAACAGGATAATCAGTGTACATTTATCTTATTTTGTCTTCTGGGAAAAGTAAATATCTCATCTAGCTTTTGGAAGGGTGGTACTTTATATCTTTAAACAAAATAAGAGCAATTTACACTGATCATTCTGTTCAAAAGCTTTTAATGAAGCCTTTCTATCATGCATTTCTATTGCAGACAGTAACAGGAGCTGCTAATACGTGCAAGACACTAAAGATCCCTTTCCCTGAAGTCAACACTATCAGTGAAAACAAGATGAAACCGAAGGACTTCTATGTATTCAAAGGCCAAAACTCTCCAACTGTGATTCACATTCCTCTGTTTAATGTGGTCAACTGTGGAGGCAAGTTCAGATCTTACACTCTAAAAAATGCAGGGTTAAATATAACCCAGTGCTGGGTAAAATAGGGACAAACCCAGCAATTGGGTTGTTTTGACCCAGCGGTTGGGTTACTACCCAGAAGGTTGGGTTAAACATTTAACCCAACTGCTGGGTCAAAACAGCCCAATTGCTGGGTTTGTCCATATTTTACCCAGCACTGGGTTGTATTTAACCCAGCATTTTTTAGAGCGTACAGCTGTCCTGAATAAACCTGAAATATCATTGAAATAAATTGATCTGATTTAAGTGTGTTACTGTTTCTTCAGATAAAGTTGAGGACTGGAGGAAGAAATATCGCACCTTTCAAGGTCCTTACAGTGCTGAGATGATCGCTGATCTTATGGAGGTCGCTGGAAAAAACATCTCAAACAACAGAGAGAAACTGAAGGAGCAGATTGCTGCGGTCATTGAAGAAAAAAGATTAAGCCGCTTTAACAATTTTCTGAATAAAGACTAATTTAGACTGAATATAAACTGAATATAGAATAAAAACTGATCTGAATAACAGTAATTTCACAGAAAATAGTGTTGAATTTTTTTGTCTTTATCATTAATTAAATCAGCATTATTTCTGCTAAATGTGATCTGTGTGGCAGTACAAGTGTATCATGTTTGCATTTTATTTAATATGTTCAAAATGTTCCTAAATGCTTGATTTTCATTAAGCAAGTACATAATTGCGACATTTTTTTATTAGTTCGAATTGTGGGATACGAACTCAGAATTACGAGAAAAATGTCATAATTGTGAGATAAGAAGTCGCAATTATGTTTTTCATTTTTTTATTCGGTGGAAGAAATAAGCTTCCATAATATATTGAGCTGGGAACATTGCCAAAGATTTAATAATAATAATCTGAAGCTAGTGTTGTGTCATACTGGGCCATTCACACTGAAAGTGGTTTTTGTGTGTGTGCGTGTGTTCATCCGAGATGTTTTTGTTTTACTATATAAACATGGATGTCATTGACGACCACGACCAGTTCAAGCTGTTTTTGTTAACTAGCTGGTCAGAGCACTCAAAGCCAGCTAATGCAATGAATGATTCCAAGTCTTAACGCTGAGTTTAATTACTGAGTGAATCGTCGATTTGAACAAATCAGTTGAACGAATGATTCAATGCACCATTCATAAAGCGAATCACTTGCTTCGCTCCTGAATGAAGTTTCCAACAGCAATTTTGAACGAATCCTCTGGATTAAATATCATTTAAATATAAATATATTCAAAATGATATATTTAAATCATTAATATTATAACATTACATTGCATTAATTTTTCAGTTGTAAATGCTGTGTAAATGCATTTATGAGTATTTTACGGTCTGTTTAAATAGACTAAGACTAAAGAAAGAAAGAAAGAACCCTAAATAGAAAGTCCAAGAATTTGACTTTAAAAAACAAAGCCCACTATTGTTGAGTGACATCCCGACATCTGTAACAATGAAAGTGAAATGACACAAGCTGCTTGAATAAAAAATCAATTCAAACATGATAAATGACAAATTAATACAAATGAATGCTAAAAAAAAACAGGCATTTATTAATTTTGTTTGGTGATTTAATAATTAATTTAAAGAATTTTGTGTTTTATTAACAATTATTTATTTAAATAATTAATTATTTATTTAATGAGCAGTTTGGTCCTCCCCCTCAATGGAAAAGATCATTTCTGACACTGTTTAGGGCTTAAAATAACGTGGATGTCAATATATCAAAATAAGTAATTACAAGTAATGATTTTGCAATATGTAAATCTTTTTCATCCACAATCTTGATTATTTTGAGTGTATTACTGTAACAATGTTCACTTAAAATGTTAATGTTGTCATGAATAGTATTACTCTTTGGTAAGCTAATGTGCATGAAGCCTTTCTCTACGGTGGCCGAGAGAGCTCAACGCGCTGCAACTTCAGAAAACACATGCAACTAGAAAAAGCACCAGCAAATCAAGCAAACATCTTCATCAGTTTGACAGCAGGCGCTGCAAATGCTCACAATGCAAACGAATAAAGACATGCAGAATTTTATTTGCAGTGCATTTCTTTATTTGGTTGTGTTGTGAGCACTTGTAGCGCGTGTGTTGTCAAGTTGATGAAGTTGTTTTCTTAATTTGCAGGTGTTTTTTCTATTTGCAGCGTGTTGAGCTCTCTCGGCCACCGTATTTATGCAGTAAATAGATCGTTCTATCAACAAGTTCATCCAGATCAACCTGTTGCCTGCCACTCAAACTTATTAAAGGTGAGGTGCAGCACCTCCCTCCCCAACACACCCACACACAAATCTGTGCTGGTGCTGTTGCTGAAGACTCAGGATCCACAGGAACTGTGAGTATATGTTTTAAAACTTTATGTAGATGAGGTATTTTCAGCAATAGAAGAGCAGTTAACACTTTAATGTCATTATACTTGGCAGGTGACAACAGTAGCATGAATGAATCCAACATTTGTCAGTAATAAGCTTTAAAATAACTATGACCTGCACACGACCACAATTGCATAAATAAACAATCATGGTGAAAAATGATTTGAGGAATTCATATTTCAGTGTGACAAATGTTTCCATTATCTAATGTTATATTTGAAAGTAATCTCAATTATAGTGTAAAATTAAATGTAAAATGAATTGCAATAGATTTCAGATCATCTTATGTTTACAGCTTTTAACTTTTAAAAGGGACATCGGATGCACATTTTCCACAAGTTGGTATGATTCTTTAGGGTCTTCATGAAATGTCTGTAACATACTTTGGATAAAATTTCTCAATTGTTGTGTAAAACAATTATCTTTTTCCATAGACAAAAACAGCTCTGTTCACGGAGAGCCGTTTTGGTGCATGTCTCTTTAACTGCTAATGAGCTACTGCTCACCCCACCCCTCTCTTCTGTGGGGTATGTTGACACACAAGACACCTGAATTGCTGCCTTGGGGTGTGTTTCCCAATAACAGTGTCTCTTTGTGTACTATGAAGACTCTAAAGGTATACGCATCTTAACCATAGTTATACCTTTTCTAGGCATGTTCCCCTAACTATACCTTAGAAGGTTGCTTAAGGCAGGGGTTTTCAAACTTTTTGGAGCCAGAGACCCCTTACAGGGAAGAAGATTTTCAAAGGACCCCCTCATAGTTATAACCGTGTTTAAGGCAAAAGTTTAATGTGAATATTAATATTAATATTCACATATTAATGTGAATGAACATAATATGACTGTTTTATTGGTGCAAATGGTCCCCATTGTATATGTAGTTTTTAATACAGCATAATATAAATAAATTTACCATATTTTCAGGAAAGTTTCACCAGGTCAGGAAAAAAACCAACATAAGTTGCATTGGTGTATAAGTTGCATTTTAATGTTACTTTCAGAAATAATTAAATACTTAAAATTTAAAATTTAATTTGCAGCCTTTTCTTGTTTTTGTAAGTGTCATTTATATATAGAACAACAAGATGGCTGCCACGGTGCGGAGCTCTCCCATTCTTTTGCTGTTTTTGTTTGTTTGTTCTTTGTTTAGTCATTCTTTTACTATCAGTTTTACCAGAGACAACTACTGGACATAAGACAACACACACCAGCCAAAATTGTTTCCAGTTTTTTATTATTCAGACGCTTTGTTGGATGTTCTAGTCAGAGGGGCAACAGTCCTATTCAAACGAGCTCAGATGGAAACGAGGAAAGGACTCTCTTTTAATCATTCATGGGGAACCGTATCGTGGAAGAATACACACATGGGATCACCGTGGGGATCACAACATATGGCACCTAGCCTAGCACAGGGGTTAACCAACAGGCAACTTTACGAGTGTTAGGTCTGGAGGGTGACGAGGAACTCCACAGGGTTCGCCTTGTGGGGAACTGAACTGAAGAGCAGAATGAGTGCACGTATCTGGTCCATAGAAGGGAATGGCGCAGCAAGCGAGACACCGAGCAGTTCCTCTGGTTTTACTGGCTACTCGAGGCGAGTGCATGAGAGGACACTGGCTCTACACGAAGGCTATAAAACCTAGCAAACGTGTTTGGTGTCGCCAAGCCCGCAGCTCTCAGGGCCGCTTGCTCTTACGCTTGCCACCTGGTTTGGCGGGGGGCCTGGACGGGCGGCGCCCCACCCCTGCAGCCGGGGGCAGGATGTGCTTGACAGTCTCCATCTGTTTCTGGGCAGCCGAGAACTGCTGGGCAAAGCTCTTGACTGCATCGCCGAATAGGCCGGCCTGGGAGATAGGGGAGTTGAGAAAACGAATTTGTCGGCCTCCCGCATGTCCGCCAGGTTCAGCCAGAGATGGCGTTCCTGGATCACCAACATGGCCATCGTCTGACCAAGGGAGCGCGCAGTGACTTTCGTCGCTCGTAAGGCAAGGTCCGTTGCTGTGCACAGCTCCTGCATCAGCCCTGGGTCAGAACTACCCTCGTGGAACTCCTTTAGTGCCTTGGCCTGGTATACCTGCAGGAGTGCCATGGCGTGCAGGGCGGAGGCAGCCTGTCCAGCGGCACCGCAAGCCTTGGCCATAAGCGTGGACAAGAACTTACAGGCCCTGGATGAGAGACGAGGGTTACCCCTTCAGGTGGCAGTGCTCCTTGGACACAATTGCATCGCAACCGCGCACTCAACCGGGGGGATTGCCTCGTAACCCCTGGCTGCGCCACCGTTGAGGGTAGTGAGGGAGGAGGAGGCACCAGACCGGTTTCGGGCAGAAAAAGGTGCCTTCCACGACCAGGTCACCTCCTCATGCACTTCCGGGAAGAAAGGCACTGGGGCGAGAGGCTGAGAACCAAGATACCAATCATCTAACCTCGACGACTCAGGACACGGTGGCTCTCTCCACTCGAGCCCGACCACCTTGGCAGCCCAGGAAAGCATAGCCGTTAATTCTGGGTCAGGCTCAGACAACGCTACTCTCCCCGAAGGGTACAACGCAGCTGAGTCCTCATCCCCAGACTCCAGCTCACCCTCTAATGCCGCAATCGACATCTGGTCATCCAGAGGAGCACCGAATGAAACGGCCAGTCCCCCATTAGAAGGACCGGCACGTTCACCCGGAAGCTCCACAGCTTGAGGTGTGCTAGAGGAATGGGGGACCCACTGAGATTCACTCGGCGGGTTTACCCCCTCTGTAACCCTCAAGTCTGTCTATTCACCGAAGTAGCCCTCTTCTGCGGTGCAGAAGAAGAACTAGATCGGGGCATAGGTAAGGGGACTCCACCTCTCCTAAGGTATTGGAGTCTCGACCGCAAAGCCGAGATGATCATCCTCCGGCAGTGAGAGCATGACTCATCCAAGAAAGCAGCCTCAGCATGCTTAATGCCCAAACACGTGAGGCAATGATCGTGACTGTCATCCGGTGCCAGGTAACGACTGCATCCAGAAACACACAGTTGGAATGACATCTTTAAAGGGGTCATATGATGCTTTTTTAAAGATCATTATTTTGTGTATTTGGTGTAACAGAATATGTTGACATGCTTTAATGTTCAAAAAACACATTATTTTTAAAATACTGTACATTATGGTAGGTTCTCTATGCCCCGCCTCTCTCAAACGCTTCGTTTTCTACAAAGTCCCTCCTTCCGACAAGTGCAGTCTGCTCTGATTGGCCAGCTGACCCAGTGCATTGTGATTGGCCGAACACCTCATCGGAAATGTAACGCCCCTTACCATAATCACGAGCATCAGCTTTCAAAATAAATGTAAAGACAGAGCCCGAAAGGGGAACAGAGTCGCGTGACAGACACATGATGAAGCTGGTATGTGTTTGTGATGTGACCCCCGCTCCCTCTCTCCCTCTCTCCCTCTCTCTCTATGCGCAAAACTCCACATTTGAACAGTCAATAGCAAATACTTAAAATTTAATTTACGCTTACAGTCTTATGTACACTTCCACAACTCTTATCCTGCGTATGCAAATCTTTTTGACGTCATTCTACCTTCATAAATTTGCTCTTTCAGAACCGCTGAAGCGCACAGGGGAAACCACTGCTGCAGCGCCATCACCCCAACACCAGTGCTCAAGAAGCCTCTTCCCCAGAGCGCTTGTTGACTCGTCAGAATACTCCTCTTCAGACGACAAGCAGAGCAGAATGATAGAACCGCTTGGCTCCGAAGCGAAAAGCTGAATACGCGTTGCACCTGCTGCGTACTTATGCTCGTGCCGTGACGAGCAGCAGCTGGATGCAATTATCGCATGCCAATGTGCATTGGCTCGTTTAATTTACACTCGAGGATAATAGGGCTCTCAGGCGAGATCCCAATACGTCTGTCACCAACGTGACTCGGAGTGACCAACTGAAAGGGAATAACTCAATGCGAACCAACAAGTGTTTTCCATGACAAAGATGGTTGGCTATCAGTCACTCAGTAGGTACTTTTAATAATGTTAAATAGGTTTAATATTTTTTAGATTATAAACTTGTTCATTTCGTTGGAAAGTGCAGTGCGCTTCTGAATGGCTGTGATATTTGAGTGATGGAAGAACCTCAAGCTCTGGATTTACTGACTTAAATACCAGGGCT